TTCTCAAACATAAAGAACTATATGACAAACGCGACAGGGACTACAATCATCTTGATAAAACTGTAATGGAGTGGTATTGCAGAGTAAATTGGTGCCATCTAATGTCAGGGATTGAATTTGCATGTTCACTCGGCTCATCGTCAGCGAAAATCGCTTGGGTGTGAACACAAAAATCGCTGATGAATAACGCGCGCTGATATTTGTCCCGGTGTGTACAAGCCTGAAGGTTGAAGAAAGACACACGCAACTTCACTCATCTGTATTGAATAAGCTTTTGAACAATGTATACAAAAAAAAAAAACCATACATGTCAATATTCATGCACTCATCAGATCCAGGACCACAGTCATAAGTCTCTACTGTTTTCTAAATTATCTTTTTAACTAAATTACCACATTGTTTTAACCAAAGACATCAAATGACATTTTAAAACTCCTTTTCAAATGAGTTCTCACATAACACTAAAATGAATTATACTTTTAACAAAATTCATTGTATCAGCATAACATGAACTCACCTTTATAGTTATCAATACAATAAACCTTACAGCAAAAATATGTGCTAGTTAGTTTAAACTCAGACGACACAGCAAACACTGGTATAGCGGGACTCGAACGAGGTCTCCGACTGCTAGCATAATGTTACACATTTCTGAGGTAGCATGAAACCGTTTAACAACATACACATACAAAGCGGCTCTTTTACTTATACAAACAGTAACATGACGAAATATAGGTCTACTATTAACACATGTTTAAGTTTACATTACTTTGTGAGTGGCAATTACCTTAAAAAGGGGGAAAGTAACGGGAGAAGGTTGTAGAAAGACTCACGCAACTCTCGCCTTCACTCGTCAGCGCGTTCCCGCTACTGGAGACCCAAGGCATTACCAACACATCGACGAATCATCGACCCATCAAAGAAAGATCAACATTATCTGCATTCCACTTCTTACTATTATTAGTTGACTAGTTTTAAACAGTAACCAAAACGTAAAACACATTAATATAACAGATTATTGTAAATTAAATGTCCTAAAAATGGAATATTATAGCACTGTAATAGTTTTCAAAATTATGAACTTATCAAATTAGGCTACTTTGTATTATTAAATTGAGTTAGGAACTATACTCTCACATCACTACTTGTCACAGCAGCAGAACACAGCGTTTGGGGGATCGTTCTGACAACGTTGTAGTCTGCATGCAAAAAACACAAAGGAAATTTTTTTTTACTTTTTTTTATTTTTAAAGCAAGATACTACATGTACAAAAGCATAGTTTCTGAAGTATGATATAAAAAAAAAAGAGGAATCCAGCATACCAACAAAACCAATCGTGAATTTTGAACCTAACATTTCAGAAACTGTATAATATAAAACAATTGTCTCAATGTATATTGGGATTAATCAACGGGGGGAAATATTGTAATATCTGTCATTATCATGAACATTCCCAATGAAAAGTCATTAGCACACGTGTCAGATCTATATGCATATTTTACATATGAAGAGTTCAGATGCAAAAGCCTCTAAATGCCATTTGAAATTTTCTTCTTTAATGATGATTTTTATCAAACTTGTATATTTAAGTTCAGTAATTTCACTTAAATAACAATTAATAGGTAATTATCATTGCAATTTAAGTGAAATCAAAGAACTTAAATATACAAGCTTCATAAAAATGATCATTCTAGAAGAAAATTTCAAATGGCACTTAGAGGCTTTTGCATCTGAACTCTTCGTATCGACATGCATCTGTGTGTCAGTCATCTGAGTGAATGCTAAAACCTTTTTTTACACCTTGTATTGTAAAATAATGCATTGTGACTGCTGAACCTTCAGGCTGTTTCACACATCATGTGTTTTCACACAACATCGCTTCTGCATCAGAGCTGCGGTTAATCGTCCTGAGGAATCATGTCAGAGAGGACAATCACATCTAGATCCTAATTATCAATCCTGACCCCCACTAACTCTACCTGGGATCTGTAGGGTTATATTCAGTCAGCACATATGAACTATATTGTTATTTAAAAAGGACATGCACCATTAAAACACAATGTTTTGAGTGAGTGAGCTGACTGTGGCAAGATGGCCGCCAGTGCGGACGTCGACTTTCATTGACCAGCAGCACGGATGAGACATTTAGCCTTTATTATGGATATCTATGGTTAGAATACCCATATAAGCAAGAACAAGTGGTCTAGCTTTTAAGCCATTTTAAATAAAGAGGGTTTTGAGTCCAGGCTCAACTTTTATGGCTTCTTGTGGTTACTAATTGAGGAACAGTGGGTTTGCAAAGCTCAATGTAGGCCATTTATATTTCCTCAAATGTGTTGTTTGGTGTGCTGATTCACCACCGACTTTACACCAGCATCACATTTCCTTCCACTGCGTGAAAAGAGCTGTATTCGGGCATGTAAAACTCCTGAGTACTCCTGTGTACTCCACAAATAAACGTGTGTATACGGGAGTTTGCTGTCCCGTCACACAATCCCGAAAACTCCTGGATATGTACCAAGTTTGGAGCACAGCAGGGAGCCACTAGGGCCATCAGTTACCATGGTGAATAATCCCCAGGTCGGGGTCAATGCAGGGGAACATTAGCATTTCACACCTTTGGGACACAAGGCAGTGGCCTCCTTCAATTGGTCAGAGATCTTACATAGGATTGGGTGCTCAATGCTTTGTCCCTCCTCTAAACCCCCACACTATTGGTCCAGTTTATGGCCTCATTTGGGTTTATTATTACTCATTATTAATATTCATTGTCATTGGTGTTCATGGTTATAATGTCAAGACAATCAGATAGACAAAGTTGAGTTTGTTATTTTTATTATTTGTAAATGACACTGGGCACATGGCATATATATTTATATACACACAGTCAAAACTCTATAAAAAAAAACATTAGCACAGAATACATTTTACTATTAGTCATACAATAAATAACCCCATATAATATATAAGGCCTGTGTATAATATATGTAAAACAATATAATAACCCGAACAACCCACACCGACTTTCCATCCAATATGGCATCCTACTCTTCAGACATGTGGTCAACTTTTGCAGTCTTCCAGATAGCTGCCTCTTCCTCTGTCTGGGGAACCCCAGTCCTGCAGCTCAGTAGCTGCAAAATGGGAGGGAAAAAAGTAATTAAACCACTGAAAATATCAAATGTGTTGGGATGGGAGCCTCTCCCAGGCTGAGGGTTTTACTCGGATTTATATGTATTTATATAAAATACACTCTTCTTTTTCTTTGTCTCATGAGCATAATGATCCTCCTGTCCTCCATCTTGTCTTTGTTCTCATCTTGGGCCATCCTGTAACCCCTTCTAACAGTTTCAAAATATGTCTTGCAGGATGCTAGAGAGATGGAGATAGAGAGGGGGAGAATATGTTTATTTGTAACTAACTAATCTATACAGTTAAAAAGTTGTAGCCTTGGTACATTCTCTTGTGACTTACCTTTAACAACAGCAGGATCTACGTCCGGTACAGCCATTAAAAAGATTATGACCTCGAGGTTGTGGGGAGAGGATAGACTGTGAAGCAGTAATTAAAGAAGCTTGATTAAAAATATAATTTAGAAGAAAAGACTGTTATGAAAGCATAGTTTTAAAGATATACCTTGTCTGTGCGTCATATTTGTGTATGTTGTTTTCCCCATTGTGCAATCTCCATACAGCTTCCTGTAAAAATCCAACATAGTATGAGGGCTCAATTCGAATAGATTTATAAATAAACCACACAAAGTTAAGCAGACACTGTGATGGTCAGAAAATAACTTACCTCAACAGAATTATTCCCAGGTCTCTTTAATTTCTTTGAAGCAGGCTCCTCTTTTGCCTCTTTGAGCTCATTGATGTCAGCCTCCATCTTATCCAACCTCATGTCCATCATCTCCAGCTTTTCAAATATCCTCTTCAAACTTTCATTTGCCATATACACCAGTCTGTTTTCGTTCGGACTCAGAGATTTAATAGCCATATTGTCCCTATGTAAAGTTGTAACATCTCCACTCTGCTCTCCGTAACACTTGTTGAAGATTGACCCAATGTAAAGCCTATCACCTTTCCTGAATACTAATGAGGGGGGCAGGGGAATAGGGGCAAACTTGAGCCAGTCCCAAAACAAATTAGCATTTAAAAAGCCAAGCCATCAACTAACAGCATGTGGTCAGACAAGTTCCTGTTTCCGGGCCTTTACAGGCATTTACAGGTACGCATAACAAAGTTCCAAAGATCCCTGCCAAACAGCACATTTCGCGGGCGTTTTCATTGTCCGAATTCTCCCGTATACACACCTTTTGACGCAGTGTTCGGTTGGAGTACATTGGTGGATTATACATATTCCCTTTTCCAACTCGTTTCTTGTTTAGCTTGGAAAGTTTTTCCTTCATAAGTGCAGATGGTTTAAATCTAAACCCAACTTTAACCAGTGGATGAATGAGGATAAACTCTTAATCTTTAAAATTAGTCAAAAACCAGTTCGCTTTTGGATACATATAAATTATAAATTTAAAAAGCCCCTTTTGATTTACTAATCAAAAACAAAAACAATCAAAAATCAATCAAAAACTTTATTGATAAAGGCAAGCAAATTAAATGACAGATTAATCCAGCATTAGTAAAGTGAGATCCGTGTCTTTGAGAGAAATGTGTGTGTTTAGTGGAGCTTCAGTATTAGAGATCTGAACTATAAGAACAACACAAGACATGTGAGACTTTAACTGTGATTAGAAGTCATTTTTAAAGTCCCCAATCAAATATGAATGACTCGATCAGTAAAGAATCAGTATTTACAATGACAAACACTCACATTAACACTTTGAGCACTAATGAGTTCAGGAGAAAATATGTTGCTGTTTGTTCTCAGATTATGAAATAAACCACATTAAAAATAAACATACAGTAAATGCCAGCATATAAAGCCATTACACATATATGAAGATTAATAAATGATAAAAAATAGAAATCTGATAAATGACACATTAGGTTTCTGATGTGTGAATATGAGCTTGATCTCGTTCAGCTCTTCTGGATCTGACGTCATAAACCACAAGAATGACAGTAGCCACGCCCACCAGAGCAGAGAGGACCAATCGGATCACAGCTTCAGTAGGACCACAGCAGTGGACAGAGTCTGAGGAGTAAAAGCATCAAACTGAGATCAGATCAGTTCATAAACGCTAATATCAGCGCTGACGTCAGCTAATATCAGCCATACCTGAACATGTGTGACAGAGTTGAGGGATGTTGAGATGTTGAGTCTGGTTGCTGATGGGATTGTTCAGCACACAGATGTAGGTGTTTTTATCCTCATATTCCACATCCAGAGGCAGAGAGAGACTCATGTTGAGATCAGACACACTGATGTTGGACAATAAACTGGTTCCTTTATACCAGGAGAGAGTCACATGACCCACATTCACAGCTGAACACACCAATGAACATGAAGATGAAGATGAAGATAAAGAACAGTCTCTGCTGATGACAGGAACAGGCAGACGAGCTGGAAAACATCAGAGAGAAAAGATCATCTAATCTAATCAACAATCTTCTTTCAGTTCAATCAGTGTATGATCCATCATCTCAAACTATAAAATGATTCAACAATTAATAAATATGTAAATAATTGGTTAAAAACAAGAATATTTGAAGGACAGGAGATCTGATCTCTACTCACCATAGACTGAAACTCTGAAAGCTTTTACTGAGAAACTGTAATAATATCCTCTCATACTGTTGATCTGCAGTTTATAATCTCCAGCTTGTTCAGTTGTGATGTTTGTGATGGTCAGAGATCCAGTTTGTTTGTTCAGCTTCAGTCTGTCTCTGAATCTCCCGAGATAATCATCATATACAGCGATTCTGTCGGCCGTTACATCAATTTCAGCGATTAAAATGTTTTCATCACCAAACATCCACCGAATCCATTCATAACGCTTTATTCCAGTGAGATCAGGGTTTATAGTGAGTGATTCTCCCTCCATCACTGATATTTCAACTGGATCAACAAACAGAAACAGAGTTAGCAGAGATATTGATATTATAAAACAAAAACAGAAAAGAAACAAAATGGTGTTTAGATTCATTTTGTTTAGTTTGATTAAAAAATAAAATGGTAAAACAATATTTAACCAACCAAAGACAGCGAGAAGGACTCTAATGACTGGAAACAACATAGATTCAGTTTCTCCAGCATATCGTCTATAATGTCCAGCATGTTCAGTTGTGATGTTTGTGATGGTCAGAGATCCAGTTTGTTTGTTCAGCTTCAGTCTGTCTCTGAATCTCCCGAGATAATCATCATATACAGCGATTCTGTCGGCCGTTACATCAATTTCAGCGATTAAAATGTTTTCATCACCAAACATCCACCGAATCCATTCATAACGCTTTATTCCAGTGAGATCAGGGTTTATAGTGAGTGATTCTCCCTCCATCACTGATATTTCAACTGGATCAACAAACAGAAACAGAGTTAGCAGAGATATTGATATTATAAAACAAAAACAGAAAAGAAACAAAATGGTGTTTAGATTCATTTTGTTTAGTTTGATTAAAAAATAAAATGGTAAAACAATATTTAACCAACCAAAGACAGCGAGAAGGACTCTAATGACTGGAAACAACATAGATTCAGTTTCTCCAGCATATCGTCTATAATGTCCAGCATGTTCAGTTGTGATGTTTGTGATGGTCAGAGATCCAGTGTGTTTGTTCAGCTTCAGTCTGTCTCTGAATCTCCCATCAAGAACATCATCATATACAGCGATTCTGTCGGCCGTTACATTGAATTCAGCGATTAAAGTTTCAGTCTTATAATCTCCAAACCTCCAATAAATCTCATAATAACCCTTTATTTCAGTGAGACGAGAGTTTAGAGTGACTGATTCTCCCTTCATCACTGACCTCAGATTCACTGATCCTGATATCAGAAACACACACAGAACAAACACAAACAGGGTTTGTCAGATTAATAACGTGAAATCACTTAATAATGTTTTACTAAATAGTTTAAAATGTTAGTTTGAAATAATATCATAAAACAAACAAAAAGAATCAAAATGGTGAATGAATTAATTTAAATGTTGTCATTAAAAACAGGTGAAACAAATGTGTTTAGCCTCACCAAAGTTGACAATATTGATCCTTCTCTTCCTCACACCGTTGATCTGTAGATAATAATATCCAGTCTGTTCAGTGATGTTTATGACGGTCAGAGATCCAGTGTGTTTGTTCAGCTTCAGTCTGTCTCTGAATCTCCCATCAAGAACATCATCATATACAGCGATTCTGTCGGCCGTTACATTGATTTCAGCGATTAAAGTTTCATCATCTCCAAACCTCCATTGAATCACATCATCATCCTTTATTTCAGTGAGATCAGAGTTTAGAGTGACTGATTCTCCATTCATCATAATCTTCCTTTCATATTCTTCATCATCATCATCATCATAATCTTCACCAAACACACCTGAAGAACAGAGTTTTCCACAAAGCTTTAAATCACTTGATGTTGGTTTGATGAAGCTTCACTAGAATAATTTTAATTCATTTAAATGTGATATTAATAATATTCTTCAGCAACACAAAGACAAAAGATGGAAAATGAAATAGTAGAAATAGATTTATATATGGAACAAAAACTAAAAAGACACTTTAACTTTAATGTTTTAACAAGTTCTAGGTTGAATTTACTGTTGCTGTATAAACTCATGCTGTGCTTCTTTTCTGTCTTTAGTAGATTTCTTAAACATTATTGTGGATTAACGAACATTTACAAAATCGAATAAACACAGAAAAGAAGAACAGCATGTGCAAACTATTATATCCATATATCTTTACTAGATGTTAGTAAATTTTAGCTCTGTCCTGTAACAGTGAATACATATATCAGTTAGTGGGAATTTACATTACGTCTTGGGATGAGACTGTGTTAGTATTACACGGCAAAAAGTGCACATCATACACACGCCAAAACTATTTCCGTTTTATATAACAAATAAATATACAGCCTATAAATGACACGAGAAATGTAATTTGTGGTAAATACGCACTTTCATGAGATGGGGCGGTCCTGACCCCACTTTCTGCCTAATAACTGAGTTTAGACCTGAATTCAAACTTGCTCTCACAGTAAAATCAGCTCAATTATTTCTACATGTGAATAACAGTTACATTTAATAATCGCTGGATAATTTAACCTTTAATTTATTACATGAGAAGAGAAACAACCAAAGTAATATTTAAAACTCACCATCCAGACGGCAGAAACACAGACAGAAGAAAACAGTGCGAAACATCTTCAGTCCACAAATATGAAAAGACAAACTCTTCAAAACGGCTTCAGGAATAAAATGACAGATGATCTGAGGTGAAGCTGCTCTTAGTAACATGAAGTCAATCTCCAAATCTTTAAGTGTAAATGCGTGCGACTTTCTATCTGATAATTCTCTGATGTTTCTCACAAGTGCAACTCGACTTCCTCGAGATTATAAAATGTTCATCAGAAATCCACATGTGTGAAAAGTGTCTGAATCAACAGTTTGCTACTTTGATAAGAAAGCATCAGCTAAAGTTATTGCTCATGTAAGCATTACTGATGAAGAACAGCGGATGAATCGTCCTCATCTGTAATGTTACTGTATGGGATCATCAGCACAGAGAGAGAATTAAGGGAAGACACACACAGACTGGTTGTTTTTATTTTTTATAAATCAAGCCCTGACTACAAACACTAAATCTCTTGCATAAAAGGAGAAACCGTGTTTTATATAAACCCGTTTTTAAACTCACCAACCGAACACAAACACAAACACAACTAAACTAATTTCAGAAACGCTTTATTCATCGGATCTCGGGAAAGCCCTTAAATGTCTGAAAACGTTCGATTACTGCCGTAACCCGGTTCTCTGATAACAGGAAGTGAGGTATCTCACTATGGGAACGCCCCTGGGCGTGTCCGATCGCGGAAGCACCAATCACAGCACGGCTGCCAACCATGGAGTCCCGGCTCGCTGTATATAAACCAAAGCGACCTGCCGTTTCGTCATTCATCATCAGATATCAACCTCACCAGCTCTGAGACGAAGGACATTGCTTACAAATGAACATTTGAACACCTCTCACACACACACACACACACACACACACACACACACACACACACACACACACACACACACACACACACACACACACACACACACACACACACACACAAGAATCGATATGGTTTTAATGTGAATGATCATCTTTAAGGATTGTTTAGTATCATTTTAAAGGTCTCAGGGTGACTGGTATAGATGTCTCATTCCCAAAGAAGTAAAACAAAAGGTAATAATGTTTTTAAGAGTTTAGGAATAACTGGCACACAAAGGAATGTGTCTCTCGGCACTCCCAAAGGTGTAAATTGATGAATGCTGATTTCCACTGTTCCCAGCAGATGGTCAAACTTCTGCCCCAGTGAGTATGGACGGGGAATACAGTAAATTTCCACTAAACTCATGTTTCCATGTCAAATAAGGTCTGGATATATAAAGAAATGCTACGAGAGCTCAGGACTGCTTTCTCTGTGTCAGATCAGCCCGTGAAATGCTGTGTCGTTGAGATCTTAATGTCGGGTTAAAGATTTTCCTCTTTGTTCCAGAACATTGGCTTGAAACTCAAGTAAACCAGAAGTCACTTAAGAGTTCAGGGCACACACAAGGCATGAATGAAAGTACAGCGTCTGTGGGAAGACGAACACAGAAGACCTGACAGCTGGATGAACAACACACTCGACGAGCCGCTGAAATATGATCATGCCCTTTTCTGCATATTCTGAGGGAGGGTTGATGCAAATGTGTGGGTTAGTGACATACCATAACCCAGCTGTAGTCCCAATCCAGTCGTTTTTGTAGGCGTTTACACTTCCTGATTTTAAAAGACGATATCTCTGCTTACACTGAACTTTCAGCGCTGCAACTTTGCAGATACTGTTCATGCACCAACAGCAACATTACACACTATTTAACATCAAAAAAGTCAAATCGCAGTCAACCCCCCCTTTAAAATCAACACGAGGTTTGAACATCTTCTCTTTCTTCTGCCACTGTGGTAAGTCAACTTATTCTCAGTCCCTCCAGGATTTCACGATTTTTTTTTTGTGATTTTTGCGATCAAAACGACTGATTTTGTGGTGGTAATTTCCAAAAATTAGTGAAAAAAATTAGCGATTTATATATAACATTTACCATAATAGTATTCTACCCTATTGAGAAGTGTTGAGAAAATGTTGTTTGCATTGTTACGGGTCGGAAAGCTCTTTGTTCAAGAAATCCTTGTTTGACTAAGCAACGAGAAACAACATCTAAACTTGGAAAAGCATCTTCCAAATGATCCAGACATAAACACTGAACACACTCCTCCATCACAACACCCTCACAGCATCATCACCCGGAAAAGAGACTGAACATTACACATCATAAGAAGATGAAGATGACAGAGTCCAATAGTGTCACTTCA